CCTAGCCTCCCTGCTGAGGCAACTTCTCTGGGTTTAAGCCCCAACCCTACACTCTTCTTGCTAGTATCTTACAAAATTCACGGAGACTGCTCAACTAAAATTCGGAGAATGAGGCATCAAACTGCAAGCAATGGACAGGTAAAGAGCCTTTCATTCCACCCGTCTCTAAGCAGTTGGGCTGGAGTTTTATTTCAGAGCCTGGGTACCATGGCGATGCAAGCTCTATAAATACCCAAGAGAGGCTTCTTTCAGCCAGCCTGCTGGGTACTGCACTGGCACCCCCACCCCTATTTCCCACCAGGGCTCCTCTTCTGCTGCTGGGGTGGGGGTAGAGAAAAGCACCGCTCTGCAGGAACTCCCTCCCTCTGCTCACACTTTCTTTCTCCTCTCCACAACCCCACCCTTGAAACTGAGATTTCATCTCCACCTCCTCCTTCAGTGCATAATTCATTTCCTCATCCCCGGGTGAAAGACTCAACAGTTTCCAGCCCCCAGTACCCAGAAGATTCTTGGATGAGAGAATCAAAACCTCTCCTGCCAGCCCTGGGGTAGCCTCTTGTCCAGAAGAAATCCAGTTCAGTTAATAAATGAACAAGCAAGGGGAAAAAAGGTGGGGGGAGGAGGGGGGCAAGCAGCATAGGGAGAAAAGTGCTCCTCCTTCCATGGAGAAAGCTTAGCCTATTAAACCCCCTGATACCTGACCCCCCTGGTAGGTCTTGTTGACAGCACAGGGGGAGGTCAAGAATCAGGCTGGTCTCTCTTCTGCTTAGAAGTCAGAACCCGCACCTCGACCCTGCCCTCTCATTGTAAACTCAGCTATGACCTCAGCATGCCCCCTCCCACCTTTAACCACTCCAAGTAGATAAGCAATCCAAATGAAAGCAGGACTTCAAGATGATTTCCTGGATGTTCCTCTATGTCTTGAAGTTCCTCGTTCATTGGCACTCTAGAGCCCATATAGCTGTGAATTCAGAAGTCAAAACCTACTTACTGGAAGGAGCTGAGTTGAAATCTTGGCTCTATTATTTAGTATGTCACTGTAAGAAAGTCACTTCACTTCTTGGAGTCTCAGTTTACACATCTATAAAATGGGACTAGTAAGAACCAGGGCAATAAGACATTAGTCATAGACATTCCATCTACTTATAAAGTGAGTAGGCTGTGCCAGACTAATTTCGATTTATTTTCAAGCACTGTATTAAGCACTGAGGACCCAGAAATAAATTAAAAAGCCACCTCTTCTGCCTCGGCTCTCATAATACCAAGTTTTCTTCCATCCTAATTTTCTCTGGCTTAGGATATGTTTTCCCATCTGAAAGGAACAGTCCATGGGTCCAATTAAGAATCTCAAATAATGCATGGCTATAGAAAAAGGACATTCTGGGCTCAATCATAGAAATGGAACTGTGTGCCTTCTCTGAGATGTGTGGGAGGGACAGCATGGGGTAGGGAGGTTCGGGCATGGTGTCGGAAGAAAAATCTCAGCAGAGGTCTTCACAGCCTCCATTTCCTTGAAGAATGTACAAGCGAACAAGAAACTACTGCTCACATGTCTGTTCCTTTTTTTTTTTTAAGCTTAATTTCTCCTCCTTACCATCTTCATGAAATATGTTACCTTGCCACTCTAAAATTCTCTGAAACACACGTGTGCAAACTGGCCTTTCTTCTTTGCTCATGCGGTGGGGGAAAGGATTTAAGTGGGCGCCAGGCTCAGGTGTCTCCTATGGGCCCCCTGGATGTAAAGTGAATGAAGAAAGGCTTGTCCTGTGGTCACTTCTGCTCAGCTCCAGTACCGGCCATGCCTCCAACTCAGCTCACGAGCAGCCAGACAAGTCCCCAGGAGGAAGGCCGGGAGAGGCTGGGCTTCTTGTCTTCAGTTCACATTCCTGCAGTTCAGTCACCTGTAGAATAATGTCCAGCTTGCCCTACCGCGTGGCTGAGCTGGTTTTACCTTTAATCCCTTTCACGTTTGTCCTCAGCCTCGGAGAATGCCTGGGGATGATTCACCCGCCATCACATGGGGCAGGCAGTCATCTGTTTTATTACCTCACCCTGCTTGCAGCTTCTGAGAGATAACCTAAGATTCTTTTGTTGAGGGGGGGGCAGGCGGAGGGGGTTGATGGAGGTAGAAAGGACTCAAAAGCAGACAAAGGCTTTAAGGAGTCAATTCCTGTTGTGGTCTCTCTTTCCTGCTCCCCTGCTCATGTCTAAATGTCCAAAGGAACAAGGCATTTAGAAAATGCCAGGGCTTGGGCACCTGGGCTAAAAAGCAAGCTGGACTTGGTGGTCTACAATGTTTCCCTTCACAACCAACACCAACCAGTGAGAAGGCTGGGTTGCAAGAGAAGATCAAAAGGAAATCAGCAGTTGGGAAGATTGTCACAAGCAACCATGCACAATTTTCAGGAAGGGAAAGGACACCACGGGTTTGTGTTTGGAACACAAAATAGTTCACTGATTCATATTTCATAAGGGCATGCTTGCTGCTAGGCATGGCACTCCAAATGTACCACAATGAGGCCCCTGAGATGCTGGCTTAGGTCTGAGTGCCAAGCCCTCTACATTTCTCAGCTCCTATAGCCATTAATACAAGCCCTATGGAATCTATGTGATGTTTTTCAGACCTAAGACTGGAGACCTTGGTTAAGCAAATTACTCACGGTCACACGGGTCACATACAAACCTGCCCCCAAACAGACTGATTCCAGCTCTTGCTTCTTAGCGGAATACTTATGAAGCAAGCATCAACAGAGACAAGCATTCATCAGCATCCATAATATTTCAGATCCAGACCATGGGTAGGTCCAGGAATTGCAGCATAATTTAAAATAGAGGAAAGAAAAGAAAGAAAGGAAGAAAGAAAGAAAGAAAGAAAGAAAGAAAGAAAGAAAGAAAGAAAGGAAGGAAGAAAGGAAAAAGAATAGGTTAATGGTTAAGTGCTGGAGTCAAACAGACCTGAGTCTAGTTATTGGTTCTATATCCCTGACCAATAATATAGCATCTTAGAGCCTCAGTTTTCTCATCAGTAAAATGTATAAGTGTGCCCTACTCCAGAGGGTTGCTGTGAGGTTTATATGAGGTCATGTGTGTGAAGCACCTAGCACCATGCTGGCTTTGCTTTTGAGCTATTGCTCTAATCAATAATAGGTTTTTATATTGTGAAAGCTTGGCCCAAGCAGAGGAAATGAAGAGGGCTATGGGAACCCCCCTTAAAAGGATGGTGAACTCCTACTTTTGGGTGTTGCGGGCCAGTCGGAGGCCCATGATTCTGGACTTCTGTGCATGGCATCTATGGAATGAAGGAGGGTAGGAAGGGCCAAACACTAAGCCCTAGGTCAGGCCTCAGGGAAGTAACTGACTTTGCAGAAGGCATTTGGAGGTAAGGAACTGCCATGGTGGGTCTTATCTATTAAGAGAAAATGAGCCCACAAACATGGGATTCCTTCCCTTGTTCAGCACACTCTGGCCCATACAGCACAGGATGCTGGCCCCTCTGGGAGACTGGAGGGCTCAGCCAAGAGGATACACTGCACTGGGCTCCATTCCCCCAGGCCATCTTCCCGCCACATATCCAGGGCAAAAATGGTTAAAAACACATTCAGGAAACACAGACAAGCCAGCTGATCCTTAACTCAGTCGTGCCACCTTTTTATATTTAATTACATATTTTTATTTTCTCAAGAAATGCTGTCTGATTTTAAAATTTCTTCTAATTTTTTTCAAAATAGAATTTTGCTTTGCTTTCTTCTTCCCCCAAATCCATAACATACCTACCTCAAAGTATCACAGGACAGAACCGCAGGTGAAGCTGCTAGTCCACAGCCGGGGACAGGCTAAGTACTCAATTTAGCTAACAAGACCATCATTACTATTACTTTACAAAATGCTTCCCCTGACACCCCTTGGAAGTCGTCCCGGGGGGAGGGGATTCATAGTATGCACTCCTAATTTTAGGGACCCAGAGGAGAGCCTGCTACATTAGCAAATACGGGGGTGGGGGGGATGGTGAAACAACATGGGGAGAAGAATGGAATGAGAGGGAGACAGATGGTGCGTGTGTTGGGGGAAGGGATCAGAGATCCAGGAAAACTTATGTTCCCTGAATTGCAAGAATGTTTCCATTTAACCACTTCTTGCCTGACTCCTGATTCTACACAAAAGAGAAGTGGGGAGTTGTAAGATTTGGGGCCACCTGTACCAAGAACCTTAGACGCGAGGTGCGGAGTCAGGAGCGTTGGAAAGCAGGGGCGTAGCGGCTCTTGCTCCAGCCACCGAGGTCTCCAGTCGGTGTCCCGGACCCAGGTAAGGGGCGGTCTCCCTTTCCCCTCGCAGGGGCGGTGTAGGGGCGGCCGGCGGTTCGGACTGTCCCACGAGGGGGCGCGTCTCGGGTCCTAGGACCCGCCCTCGCAGCCCTGGGCGCGGGGAGGGGACCCGGGAACCCAGGCGCCCGGCGCTCCGCCTCCCGTTTCCGGGGCAGCGCGGTTACCTGCACCGCCCGAGCCGCACCTGGCGGAGGCAGAAGTCGCAAAGCGAGCGAGCGCAGAACGCCGCAGCGGAGAGGGGCGACGGCGCCGGGCCAAGGGGAGGAAGAGGGGGAGGCGGCGGTTGCAGGCGGCGGCGTGGAGGGCGCAGCGCGCCGCGCGGCGGAGG